CTTACATGATTACTCTTTGTACTAAGATTATTATGTAATACTTTTGTTTATTTGATATGATAAAACTCTTGAGAGGAATATTCTCAAGGATATATATCTTTTAAAATTCATTAATTAAATTACTTTATAACGAAACGTGCTGCATTGGCGTTGTAAGAATAACTTTTCAAAGCTTTGTCATGATCTTCGTGTTACATTGCTGACAGCATTAGTGAAATTTGAACTAATGGAATGCGTTTTTAAAGTATATTAGAATTCCCCTTGCTGTTTCTCAGAAAACACATGCTGAGGAATTACTCAAAAATTTTAAATACTAGGTATTCCAATTGCTTCTTTCTCAAAATTTTGTTAACAAAATTAAATTATGTTAATCAATATATATGTATACTAAATTCCATATAAATACCATTTAGTTTTTAAAAAACAATGTATAAAGTAGTTTAAAATAAAAGATTAAGGTAAATTTTTGTACTAAATGTTTCTGCGAATAAAACTGTTACGTATATTCGAAACTCAGTCAAGTCCGTGTTTGTCGTACACTTTTTGCTTACCGGTTCACTTACGATTTCCTTCGAAGGATGATTAAAACCGGATCGAATAAATACCAGTTCAGGCAACGTCCTTGTGTGCCGTCGAGATGCTCTGACTGAGAATGTAGTTTTTATGTTGATCCATATTCAGTTCATAGTCTCCTTATACTGAAACAATAAATTCCAAACAACAAATCTTTATATTTGCTTTAATACTGATGATTAAAAAATTACGAAACATAAATAATTTACCAAAGAATATTTGCTTTCTTTTGTTCTATATACATACTTTTTGCGTACAACAAAATTTATTTCTTGAACAAAAAATAATTTGTAAAAAATAAAAGATTTAGACTTTAGAATAATATTCGTGTATAAAATTTTTAGTTATTAACAGATATTATCGTAATAAGAAAAATTGATAAAGCAACAAAAGTTAATACAATTATTTTTATGATTAATTTTGTTTTATTATATAAGCTGATTTAAAACAATCTCATGTCTTTGAAATGTCATATTTTTGAGCAATTTTTAAGATAACTTTTCCTTTTGCAAAATTTTGTCCAAAGCTCAATTTTCAAGTTATAATTGAAAATAGTTCACTACTCACAAGTCCGACATAACGGGCAGGCAGGGACGCGCAACGCATTACGAGACTGTCAACTGTTACGTTAGTAGCGAACTATTTTCAATTATAACTTAAAAACTAAGTTTCGGATAAAATTTTGCTAAAGGAAAAATTATTTTAGAAATTGCTCAAGAATATGACATTTCAATATAACATCAGGTTGTTTTGAATCATCCTGTATATAAAAAAATACTATAGTAAAAAGCTTTTTAATTTGAGCTTTCTTATTTCGATGATTGTTATGAGGAGTTGGAGAAAAATATATAAGAAGACTTTATATCATATTATTTTTATTTAAGCATTTTGTCCCATATCATTTCAGTCATATTACAATATATTACAAGTAACATAGTTACCTGTTTGATGTTGTACGCAGTATATAACTTCATTTTTATATGACTAATCCTCTAGATTTTAATGCGTTATATTAATGTATGAAATCGCAAAACCAACAATCTTTCAACGAACTATAGACGGAGCTTGGAAACATATTCGATCGGTTTACACTTTATCAAGTGAAGTTAACCTTCTTGTGACCTAACGGCGGTGAATAACAATTCATGATACTCGTTCGCAATTGGTAAAATATGATATTTTTTCAAAGATATGTATTTTACATTTCACAAGCAATATCCTCAAAAGTGACACAATAGTATTATTATCAACGTATATGGCATCGGTGATATGTAAAAAAATGCGTGTTCAATTCATTCAAAATATAAAAATTATCCGCTTCAGGAAGCAGATCGCAGACTGATCACTTAATAACAAAACCACGGTGAGCTCACATTTTAGTAATATTGTGATAAAGTATTTTTTAGACAACTTTATTACATATCAGAATACAGCCTACAGTTTATTAGTTAGGTACTTATCAATATACTCTTAGATATAATAACATCCGGCAGGCTTAAATAATAGACATTGCCGTTTAAATTTATTTAAAAAATATGAAAAATCATGTAACTGGATAAAAAATAAACTTGAAAGTCGTAATGCGCGTCGCTCTGCTTTATTATAAAAGGTTCTCTTTCGTTCGTAATTATTGATGTAAAATTCAAGAGCGCCGGATACAGAAGGTCAGGTATGGATACGGATCTATTTCTCATTATGTGTCGTCGTCTAGAATCGCAACATGTGTACATTGTGTAAGTTACGTCGAGGAAGAGCCCGTGGCAGTGAACAGAATGGGTATGTAATTATAAGCTACGATCTATAATAGATTATGTGATTTGATACATTGCTTTTGCATGCATTGTTAATGATATTTCCTTCCGTGTATCCTTTATACTCATTATATCTCTTATCTGTTTGTATAGTTTAGCTAGCAAGCATAACAATTGATTTTTCATTACGATTAGTTTCATGATATGACGTGTCAATATGTATGTAAAGTTACTCTCAGGGGATCGTCAAAAGCCAAACCATAATCGTCTTATTGATATCATATAATTCAGCTATACAACGACGTATATCAAAACTTATAAAATACCCAAAACCACCGTCAGACGAGTCCCCTGACCCTGCATTTGCGCGGCAGATATACTATGTACTTGTCTCAGTGTGATATGCGTTTAGAGCCAGACTTGTTATTGGTCAATGATTAAACGTTTACGTTTACAACGTGGATATCAAGTGGATAGCATCGATCTAAGTCGAGTGCTAACGTCGTTTAGAGTGACATTGTTGTTGGGACAAGCGGCGCGGTGCAATCGTTATTTGAATGCCGGTGGAGGCGCTCGTTGTCCGTTCGTCTTCGATGTGTCCTCAGTCATAACTGTCACCAATTCGCCCACAGCTTTTCCTAAGTCACCTGAAATAGAGAAGGAAGGTCTTTACCATCTGTTTGCTTTTCTCAACGTTGTTCCTGAGACCCAGAATTCGCATATGCTGTTAAACTCACAATAGTTAATTGAACAATCCATACATTGCACACATTCAGACGTACATAGAAATCAAAAGGGAAGCGTAGGATGAATTAAGAAGAGAGACGTTCGGGTACACGCAAATGTACAAGTACGCGATGAACGCTAGAGATTTGCACATTTAGTGAGATTGTTTCGTTGCCGTAATGTTCATCTGTTATGTTGCAATAATATGTTCAGACGAATCTTAAGCATAGCCCCCCTAGGGAGAAGCATAGTAATCTCACCTTACATCCATTCTGTATAGCGTGAAAACAGGAAAGCAACATTATTTTGGTTATACCAAGCAGAAGTGATACATGCATCATATAGAGGTTGGGTACATTAATTGATTATGCTACATTAATTCAACACACGGTAAATTTACATAAACTGAACGAACCTGCCATGTGCAACAAATTGCCCACATTGTGGGCAACGCTGTGAGAATGTGGTGGCGGCGGTGGCCTCTCTAAACTGCTGACTCTGCCTTCGTTTGAACCTCCACCACCTAAGTCCATATGCCCAATAGCAATAAGCATATCTATTTTCACAGCGTTTGATTAAATATATGTATATGTATATATATATGTATATATGTATACAGCAGGGATGTGCATAATGTCAAAATCTATTAGTGATGACAAGTTATTAAAAAATTATGACGTTTTAACTTTGCATTAATTACAACGATCGAATTCTTGCTGAGAAAATTTATGCAATAAATGATTTAAGCAAATGAGATTTAGACAAACGAATGATACCACATATAATTTATTTCATACATGAATCAGTTATCAGATTGCAATCATGAACTCCCTATTGTATTAACACTGTAGTTAGTTTAGCATCAATAGAAAAGCATTATATATATATTCAGTTGTTACGTATGAATTATAAAAATATGTATGATAGCCATAAAGTCCGATTGACTGAAGGCGTGAATAGCAACTTCAAATTAAACAATTTTGATGCATTATCCCAGATATTATTATTTACTTATATAACAAAGAGCAATGGTCAAAACTTGATTACAATAAATGTACCTGGAGACTCATGATAATGGCCATTCATCTTTGCTGGAGAATCGGTCGCCAATTGTGATGCTGTCACACTTCGGGTTTGTAAAGTTCCGGTCTTCGATGGTGAAGAAGCGTTTGGCTAAAAAATTTAGAGACAATTGATCCATCATGTAACACAATATTCCATTTTCATTAAAAAAAAGTATTCAGTATAAGAAACAAAGTATAAAAAAAAGAAATTAAAAATGTCATATTTTTTGACATACCTCATCTAGAAGCTGCCTAAGTCTCTGCAGCTGTGCCTCCAATTGGCGATTATGGTCCTCGAGTAGCTGCATGCGTGCTTCTAATCTTCCTTTGTGCTGCCTCAGCAGTTTAGCTTCCGCAATCATGTCGCAATCGGGCTGTCTAGTGCTGTGACCATCCTCCGGCGTCGAGCCTGGAGTTTGCTTCGAGCGTAATCTCTCATACTCCGCTTGCAACGTCGCATTCTCCTCTTCCAATTCTCGTATCATCGCCTCGAGCTCCTCCCTCTGCTCGGCGTCAATCGCGGCCATAACTTGAACCGGACTTCTGGGTACGTTAACATTGTCGCCACCGTTTAAACTCTGACAATAATGTGCTATCAGCTGATGCTCGTCGTCACTATCCGGTGTAGAGTTACTTCTTGTACGTGATAATTCAACTTCGGCAAGTCGAGAGGCGTACATTTCTAGACGAGAATGCATGTCTTGACTGAGCGAGCTGTGTTGAGGCGAAGGCGCCGGACTTTCCAGCGCATCTCCCTCAAGGACAGTTTGCACTGGCAAATAGCCAACTCTAGGATGCTTTTTGAAGTATCGCTTAGACTTAAATTTGTTGCGCAACGCTCGTGTAAAGTCGCGAACGTCTTCACCGGACGTCGTCTGTAAAGCAATAAAGAATCGTTTAATGAATTGTTTCCATTGATAACATTTAAGTGAGTAAAATCAACAGAAGTCTTACCGCTGTGCAATATTCTTGCATCGGGTGCGTTAACTTGTGATTCTTTGCTTTACGTCCTGAGAAGAAGCAGTTCTGACACATGTCGAAGTTGAAGCATTTCAAGCAACGGTATCTGAAATCCAGATATTTTTTATATCAAAATATTCTGATAATCTTATATAACGCTGTTGCTGACTGGTTCCGGTGAACTTTATCTTACCTGAATCCTATGATAGGATACTCCTTGCATATGTTGCACTTAGCTTGATGCTTGGCGGTCTCTGCAGCGGATAGTCTATGTAATACAGGCAGCCAGACCATGCTCTGCGGTTCTTGTTGCAGCCAGCTCAAAAAGTGCACGGCCTCTATCTCGTTTTTATCCTTTCCTGCCTTTTCGAAGCAACTGCGAACGCTGGGCTCGATATTCGAGCCACCGAATGCCGCGACTTCGCCCAATTGTCTCGGCACTTGTATGCAGTCATGCAATAGAAGCCCCAGTTTCCGTTGATCTACCAGCCTATTGGGATCCGCGATTAAACGGAACAAATCTGCAAATAATATATAAGCGCCATTAGATATAACTTAAATATATTTATAGATTGGTATCAAATCTTGATATATTACTTACATCTATACTTCTCCTCCAAGTGTCCCTTGCAGAGCAGAACTAAACCGACTTTGAATGACAGTACTCGGATCTGACCGGTTCGTTGACTGAAAATTATAACGCAAAAGTGAGTATCATTTATATTAAATATAATATCTTTAAGATTTCTAATATGATTTAAAAATTGGAATTTAATATATATAGAATAAAAAAATGCACGTAAAGTACAGTATAAACACATAAACGTTAACAAAAAAAATATATTGTGTTTCATATTTGTAGAACATAGCCATTTAGCATACCTGTCGTATACATTGAGCAGCCAGTTGATAGCTAGATCGATACATAGTGGCACAGACACCTGCGCCGGGTTGTCTGCTGCGATTACTTCGTACAGTGATGTCAGTACTGTTACCATGTCGGGGATGTCAATCAGTTTGTCATTCTGTGCCCGGAGCCCGTGTGAATCAAACTGTTCCAACGCGGTGGAAAGGCTCAACATGTCCACTAAAACGACAAGTAAGGAATATAAAATATTTCTTTCATGTTTTTATTTTAGTTCAAGATGCCGATATTTCATTTAGATAAAAATTATTAGCAATATTTTTATGTTATACGACATCTAATATCATTACAACAATACGCTATTGCCGGTAAATGATTAATCGTGAAAATTATGATAGTTAATGAACACATGGTGCTACGTAGCAATAAAAAAATGATTTATTATTAAATAGACGCAAATACTTACGGCACAATCGCTTCTGAACAGTACGCAATTTCATGGCGGTTCGGTATGCGGAAAAGCGAACTTCGTTTAGATCCGCAAGAGAAGACATTAGTTCTATCATCTTCGGATGATCCCAGTGTGTAGTCTCCAATTGATGGCTATAATAAATAAGTTTAATTCAATTCTTTATATTTAATTTTGTGCACAGATGTGAATATAAAGGGAAGTACCAATGTTTTTTATAATCTTGAAACTAAAAGAGACTGATATTTCACGCAATTGATTTTTTTCTATTTTCTACTTTAAAAAAAAATCAAGTTATTGGAATAAATATATATAATATAAACATATAAATATTATGTTTTAAAATCAATTTAAAAATTTTTTAAATACAAAGCTGTATTGGTAAAAGCTTTTGATCGTCTCAGAAATAAGCATGCCGGCTGGGGAAATTCGAGATGAATATGAGATGCAAGGAAGATCCATTACTTGATATAGTAAGGCACTTTGGCGGGTGTGAGGGCTCTCTCCCATGGTGGCTCTACGCTGCTCGCGAGGAAAGCCTGACTACCCGGAGTGCTGCCATCCTTCCCGAATCCGCTTAGCAACTTGTAACGCTCGTCAACCGCGACTTGCAGCACCTTCCACCTGCGAAAACACACGAAAAACTTAACATCGTCGCATCTCGAATTTAAAGCCCGTCAAGACGAAAGACGTTGTGAAAATAAGCTTTATAGTGCTAGGCAAATCTCGAATTCTCGTCTTGGTATCGGTGATACTTACACAGAGTGATGCAGCAAAAAATGTTACTGTATGTCTCTATATATTTCCAACCTTTAGACAGTCGTAAAAAGAATATTTTATGCAAATATTTCGTGTTTAATTTAAGGTCTCGAAAATAGATTTCAGATTATTCACAAAATCCGTTATTAGATTTAAATATTTCGATTTTGAGGTCTTCGTGTTGCATAAATAGCCACGTACAGAAATGATATATGAGTTTCGTCTAAAACTCGGTTGAAAATCGCGGTGATAAACTTTTTTTTTGTATGCCCGTTAAACCATACCTAGTGTTCAGATCTTCGAGTTTCGCCAGTAAAGCGTGAGAAACGATGACGCTGCTCGACGCGAGAACGCTCGCCTGGTCGTTTGCGTCCTCGATGTTCCTCTGGATAGGTACTAGCCGTTCGCCAAATTTCTGCAACTGCTCCAGCATTTCCGTCGCTTCGTTGGCGTCGTTTGGATTCTGCCAGCCGCTCTGGATCGCCTCGGCCGCGGCCATCCGCGAGGAGAGATCCTCGAGAGACTTTTGGAAGACACATATTTTCTGAAATCAGAAATGGAAACATCGTTAAATTGAGATGCAGTGTTGCTTATCATTCAAATGTAATGATAATCAAGATAATTGTGCGCTTCATATGTATGTATTAATTCATAATCACATTGCTATAACAAACTAATACATAATATAAAAATTTGCATATAAAATAGAATGCGTTTAAATACATGCGCCATAAATTAATAAGAATCAATTTAATTGTGATTAAAAATGTCATTGAAAATTTCCCAAAATTGAATAATCTTTTTTGTTGATTCATTATGTTTAATAGCTTCTCTCACATTGTAAACTTTTATGCTTAAAAGTAGCAACTAATGCTCCATAAAATAAACACCGTGTATGCAAAACTATTCAGAATTTAACGCCGCAGAGCCGTATCATGGTGAAAACTTTCAAATGCATGGTAATTCTCGGCGTTTTGCCTTCATCCGAATATTCGGGCTACTGTATTTGCTTTTAGTGTTTTAGTATATAATTAAAAAGATTAGAGTAAAATATTTTATTCTTTTAATAATAATGTATTTCAATAACCGCTGCTTTTTGTAATGACATTTACGCGCTATTAATTATAATTTCTATTTTGCACACAATGTTTAATTACAATTTAATATTTTATGTATATTAATAAATTGTATATGCGCGCTTATAGATCTTAATATATTGCATATATAATATAATGTGTGTGTCATTATTTGTAAAAATGTTTGTTTTATTTTCAAAGATAAAACTTGATAAATTTTGATAAATCTTGATAAATCTTTAAATATTTCTCATTCATAAAATCATTAGCTAAATTATTTATTACAAAATATTTTTTAATCGTTATATTTTTAACTGACGATCATAAAACCATTCGTAATGTGTTAGAAGCTTAAAGAGCATTCTGCTGGCATTCATAAAAGTCTCGCTATTAAAGAATGCAGAAAAGCGACCGCAGTTAGCTAAAGTGAAAAATTTTCTCGTGGAAGGATTACGCGACAAGTGACACTAATCTGGCAAATTTAACGAGCTCATCTCGAGTTGTCTCAAGTAGTGTGAGAAGAAAAAAAATATATATGTAACTATGCATATTTTATGATAAAATATCTGTTAAAATATCTGCTTAAAACGTATTTTTAAGAGACACAATTTAAATGACGATGTACAGGGACTTTATCAAAAACTAGAATTTTTTGTCTGTCTAATTTTTCAACATTTTGCTGATGCACCATTAGCGATTCGCTTGAAATCAAGGTATAATAATTATATTCAATGGAATAAAGTAGCGAACGCAGTAACGTCAATTAAAATATTCATTTTTACGTGATGTAAATTCAAATTATTCATTCGAAGCAATATTATCCATTGTGCGCTCTGCAGCGCGCAGGTGTACGAACTGTTTTGTTGTCGTAATTACGACCGAAAATGGCACTATCTGCATAAGAGAAAAAGTTTCACATGTATGGTTGTTTGTATACGGGCAAAAAAGTTATAAGCATAACTGCTTGCGTAAAATTTTTTATAGTTGCGCGAGCTGTATTTATTGTATTATCATTTACACTCTTGTACACTTCGTGTACACTTTAGAGACTCGCTGTTATAATTGGGTCAAAAGTAATCAAATTATGATTTTTTAATTTTAATTCGTAACTAGTGCGCTCCGTTTATTAATGGAATGAAATCCATTTAGCCTCGAATTAAGACAAACGCGGCAAAGTATTTAAAAAGTTAATTCTTCTTTTTTTAAAATATATCTACGCTTTTTTTGCATTGAAAGCAAAAGGTAGATATTGAAGCTATTGTAAAAGTAACTGTTTTAAAAACGTTATATAACATTTTTCATGAAATAAATCCTGAAAAATAAAAAAAATATCGGATCACAAGCGATATCAGTTTTTTCACGTAACTATAAATAAAAGTTAAGTCTATGTTCAATTCTAAATAAATATTGCTTAGAATTATATAAAATTTGACAATTTGAAATTTAATAAAATGTTTAAAGAAGTAAAAAGTATAGTTTAATGACATTATATCTTCGTTGTAGAAAAAAAATGATCAATAAATTTGAAGAAATTGTTAGAAAAATTTATTAAAAAATCCATGATTATTACAAAACCATAAAAACGCATTAAAAAAATAACAAAGAATCTAAATCGACGAAATAAGAGCAACTAATTTCTTTGTCGCGGAATAATTTTCTCTGTAATTCTTTTCATGACACCGGCGGGAGAGCGCAAGAACAGAGAGGTACGAGACAATCGCTAAGTACAAATGGCCATGCTCTCTCTGCCCTTTCAATTTTCATCCTCGGACAAGGCGCGGTAACTGGCGTCGCGATAAAATCCTCCGGGCATTTATCAGTCGGCGATACGACACGAGGGAGCGGGAAGGACGGAAAAACGGAGGAGGATGGTCGGTCGGTCTCTCACGATGGCATTTGCATTCCAAATAAACGCTGACGACGGACGCTAAATCGCTCTAATTAGTCGTCTCCCTATGGAAGTGCTTTAAGCGTCCCTTGTTCCAAGAGCAGGATAAGGAAAAAGGCGGATGCGTAAAAGCGGAGCGTGAATTGAAGAGAAAGATAGGTCTTACTTGCATCCGTGACGAAGGAAAGTGGGACAATCGGACCGATGAAAATGTCGAGTCCGGAAAAAGCTGAATCGCCTTTGTTCTGAGTAATTTAAAGAAAGAAAGAGAGATATCGTAAAAATATAAAAGATTATCGATGATAAAATCAATGCAATTGAACGGCGGAAGTTCAAGCTAAGATCTGCTTCAAAATAAAGCATTAATCTTGCATTATTATCATATAAAAAAGATTGAATAATTCAAAACAAGCCGCTATTAATATATAAATGAAGAATATAAACTCTGTTCGCGTAATGTCGTTCTGCTGTATTGTCGTTCAGCATACGTGATAACTTACTATATTTTAAATGAAAAACAGCTGCCGTAATTACTGGCCGGAGTTAAAATGTATGACGATTCGTGTTCAATTGATTGTATATGTGTGCACATATAACACGATAAAGTAATTATGAATACTACATTATATATGATGCGAATTGTGTCCGACATAAAGCATCTCTAATAACATTCATCGTGAATGCTAATGAGGAATTATTGTGTTCGATGAAAATGTAATTATGAACACACTAAAACACGCGCAACGTTCTCGCATCGTTCTTGGGCGCATCTGCGATTTGCACGAAATCGTGTGAAAAAATCACTGTAACGAGCAAACCAGATTTATTTCAGCGCACGCATGCGGACACGCACGCACGCACTCCACATTCCGGTTACGTAAAAAGTACGAGAGCAAGACAGTAATTTGATTGTACAATCAGATCCCTGCGTGACCGGACAGGCAAGGTCGATGTAAAGCACTTAACGCATATAAACCGGTATAAACGTAATACTTCGAATAGAGCCGGATATTTTGAAAGAGCAAAAACATAAAATAATGTTTGCGAAACATTATAACATTATAATTATTCTTCAAGTTTATTATAATTATAGTTTTTATAAAAAAAAAACCTCTCCTGTAAAAAGAAATGGAACAATTTCTAGAGAACAACTGACAAATAATGAAACATAAGCATTTAAATGTCGTAGAAAGCTCAAAAAAAGATGTCAAATTTTTGTGTGTGCAAATTCTCCAAGTTTGCGTTCTGTCGTAAATAAAATTATAGTAAATAAAAAAAGGTATAAAAAATATAAAAAAGCGGTTATTGAATTAGGGACATTCCTCAATAAGAGTCGCGAAACAATACCTTCGATTCTAATATGTTTCATCGTGTTTCAACAGAACTTATGTTGCAAGATAAAAATTACAGTTTGCTGAAATTGTCATAGAGTAATTTTACTTGAGGCTTATTTCGTGACTCTTATTAGAGATTCTTTGCTTGATTCTTGCGTGATAAATCGCGGCGTAAGAAGTTTCCTAATTTACACCAAGAGTGACACGGACTAGCGACGGATCGTGCACCTGCACGTAAGATAATTGGTGGGTCTGTCGATAATGCGAGGTCCGTAGGTCTTCGCATGCGAAATCGACGAAGCGAAAAGGCCGAGGCCGAAATAATTTCTCGCCGCGGCGTCTGCAGTATCATTTATTATGTAGCCAACCAGGCAATTAAAGTTAACTCGACCGTGTCGGCGTCGTCCATGCACTCTCGCTCTCTACCTCTCCTCGCGGCTCCTTCCGTCGTGTGTCCTGACGAAGAACTTCTTCGTGGAATTTACTAAGCTAATTGTCTGGCGCCGTCCGATATTCATTCTTGACTGTATGCGCCATTCCTGGACCGTTTGGTCATTAGTTGTTTAATTTGCAATTTCTAACAGAAGCTCTCGTACTTACTCTTTTCCTTCCTTTATTGCATTTTTGTTGAATGAATTTTAATCTATGCTGGTTTAATATAATAATATAATTGTTGTCCAAAATTAAATAACAAATATTACAGTTTTTACTTTAATTTTATTACGTATAACATAAATAACTAACTTATGAAATATTTGTACGTTCGTAAGTTGTTCTAATATTGAACAGCGATCTTATTTAACTAAATTTTTATATTGAAAAAAGATATAATTTTTTTTGCGGAATACCGATTAAATCATTTGTTAAATGCATATGCGTGAATGATAAATGAGAAATTGGAAGAAAGAAAGAATATTTGTAGGAAGAATATTCGATCAGCATCTTGAAAGAGTGGTTTTAGCAAGACGTTTTTCTTGGAATCATTCTACCTGCGATGATGCTTTTATTCACAAAGAAGAAGGTGGCGCAAGATGAGATCAGCTAGGAGCAGGTAAAGGATCTCGAGGGATTACAATATCTTAGAACACTCGTGATAAAATATCGCTTTTAACCTGTCAACTTATCTTTTAACAAAAATTCAGCTTGTAGACAATGACACCTCTATTAAATTTACACATCTTTTCATTACGCCTCAAGCTTCATAGAAAATATTAAATTATTACTTATATCTTTGACCAAATATTTT